ATTATTTAAGATAATGTAATCTATTTATTTACTTAACCAGGCTTAGGTAAAAGTGTCACCCGTGGCAACAAGCTACTGTCAAGAAACAAGTAAGGATGTGATTGCAAACCCCTTCTAGACCTACAAAACCTCCACTATTCTTCAGAGTGTATATTTTTGTGTTTATAATTCATCTGACATACAAACTGAGAGTAACAATGTCAATTCGTTTATTGGCAACATGGAATTACTTAAAAAAATATTCTGTATTCAACAGCCAGATCAGTGCATAGTTCCCAAGGGGGTACACATAAATTTTGTAGGATGCTAATCCAAATCATCAAAACTAAAGTTTTTATATACAATAAATAAAATATCAGAATATCTACAGTATGTCAGTTCTAGAGTTAATCACTGAGTTTGCTAAAATTAGCTTAGGTCATAGCAGTACATGGTATGACTATCTTATTCCTCAGACTAACACTAGAAAGACTTTATTTGGATCAACCATATCCCTCTTGTAGGCAACTAACAAGGTAAGTGATTAAACTGTTATTGTGAACTAAAATTTTCCATCTTCTCCCTCCACTCAATTTATAAAAACTCAAGCTCATAGTCAAGGAACATTTATATAGAAACATTTTCTTTAAAAATATTTAAAATGGTAAACTCAACCAACCTAAATTAAAGAAGCAAGAATTCCAGGTTTGGAGAATATTTATTTTCTTCATTATTCTGTCATTAAATCATAGAGAATACAGGAAAAGGCAAAGATTGAGCTAGAGAAGATATTTATTTATTTATTCTTGTTCTAGCTGAATTATAAGAATCTACAGAGATAGTTGTCTTGAAAATGAAAGGGAATCCTTTTTTAGGGAAAAGAGAAAAGCATAGAAAAATGAAAAAGGGTTTGGTAATCAATTAAATATTAAAAAACCAAAAACTTTTCAGTTTTTCTTCACATTTAATTGGTTACCAAGCCCTATGAATTTTAGAATGCCTTTTATCTGTCCCTTCGTTTTCAACTCTGATGTTGTTAAAGCCTTATAAGAAACCAGATGTGCGTGTGTGTGTGTGTGTGTGTGTGTTTTTGTTTGTTTTTAGAGGCAGAGTGGACAGTGAGAGAGAGAGAGACAGAGAGAAAAGTCTTCCTTTTGCCGCTGGTACACCCCAATGGCCGCTGTGGCCGGCACGCTGTTCCAAAGCCAGGAGCCAGGTGCTTCTCCTGGTCTCCCATGGGGTGCAGGGCCCAAGGACCTGGGCCATCCTTCACTGCACTCCCGGGCCACAGCAGAAAGCTGGCCTGGAAGAGGAGCGACCGGGACAGAATTCGGCACCCTGACCGGGACTAGAACCTGGTGTGCCGGCGCCGCAGGCGGAGGATTAGCCCATTGAGCCTCGGCACCGGCCCCAGATGTGTTTTTAAGCAGTCTCATCTCAATGATTTTCTCCCTTCCTTCCTCTTTTTTTTTTTTTTTTTTGTTTTAAACCTAGATAGGGACAAGAACCCTGTCTTCAATGTCCCTTCTCTTTCATATTACAAATTATCTTCTAAAATACTATGATCATATCATTACTGTAAAAAGATGTGTGATACATTCCCATTTACAGCATTAGATGAATTTACTGGTTTTAATTAGTTGCAGTCAATTACTACCTTTCTCCAGAAAAGCCTTCATAGCTCCTTCTTTAGATAGCATAGCTAAATTTAGTCTTTGATAGTTTTAACTGGAGTTTCAGCAATCATTCACACCAGGTGCATAATACTATGGCTGTTCCAAACAACTTAAATTCTAGTTTGACACTGCAGAACTAATAAGGCTTCAGACACTATTTTATTGTTTAGCACTTAGTTAGTGCTAATTGTGTAATAAGAAATCAGAGATAGTGAAAAATTAAGGAAAGACTGCACAGACTGGATGAAATTTCAGCTAAAAGTTGCAACGTAGCCAACAGACAGAATGACAGTTAAAGGGCTTTAATACAGAAGACATTGATAGGGATAGGAGTATAAGGACAGGCATGAGAAAATACGCTGGGGAGAAAATGAACAGGAACGAATGAGGCAACTATAAAGATGTCAGACACTAACGATAGGGAACAATAGTATATAAATTCCCATTACAGAATGTCTTAGAGGCCAGGGAATGTTTAAATTTGACTTTACAGATGCCAATTAATAAACAAGGAAGAAGGCCTGGGGTTGTGACACAGCAGATTAAGCCAATGCTTGTAAAGCCAGCACCTCACATGCGTGCCAGCTCCAGTTCCGCCTGCTCCACTTCCCATCCAGCTCCCTGCTAATGAGCTTGGGAATGTAGCAGAAGATGACCCAAATACCTGGTCCCCTGACACCCACGTGGGAGACCAGGATGAAGTTACAGGCTTCTGGATTTGCCTGACCCTGCCTGGCTGCTGCATCCATTTGGAGAGTGAATAGCGAATGAAAGATCTCTCCCAATCTCTCTTAAATTCTGTTTTTCAATGAAATAACTAATAAATCCTCAAAAAATAAAAATGAAAAGGGAAGAGAGTGCATAAGGTTCTGGTATCTATATTTGAGCATCTGGAAGAGACAGAGAGGTAGGCAAGCAGGTCTATTTGTAAAGAAATTATGGGACTTAAAGAGAGACAGCCATTGAAGAGAAGAAGCAATTAAAGAAAAGTATAACTAACCGATAGAATAAATAAAGGGGAGAGTGATCCAACATGGGAAGTGAGATACTCAGCAGGCTCATAGAATGGCGGATGTCCTAAATAGCACTCTGGCCTCAGAATCAGCCCTAAAGGCACTCGGATCTGGCTGAAAAGCCCATGAGAGTATTTCAGGCATGGAAAGCCAAGACACTCTGGCAAAAAGATCTCTGTGAGTGAGATCCCAGTGGAAAGAACAGGTCTTCAAAGAGGGAGGTGCCTTTCTCTGAAGGGAGGAGAGAACCTCCACTTTGACTATGACCTTGTCTAAACAAGATAAGAGTCGGAGAACTCAAGGGGCTTCCATAGCCTTGGAAACTCATGACTGGTGCATAGGGAGATTACTGATGCCATAAACAGGAGTGTCAATTTGTAAAGTCAACAACAGGAGTCACTGTGCACTTACTCCTCATGTAGGATCTCTGTCCTTAATGTGCTGTACACTGAGGCTTAATGCTATAACGAGTACTCAAACAGTATATTTCACTTTGTGTTTCTATGGGGGTGCAAACGATTGAAATCTTTACTTAATGTACACTAAACTGATCTTCTGTAAAAAAAAAAAAAAAAGAAATTATCAATTCCCAACTTGACTCTCACTGGGATTAAACATGACAATAGGTCTGATCTGATTTCATCATGATTTAAAAAAAAATCATCTATTATTTTTCACTTTATGTTTCTGTGTGGGAACAAACTGTTGAAATCCTTACTTAAGGTATACTAAGCTGATCTTCTGTATATTAAGATAATCGAAAATGAATCTTGATGTGAATGGAAGGGGAGAGGGAGTGGGAAAGGGGAGGGTTGTGGGTGGGAGGGACGGTATGGGGGGGAAAGCCATTGTAACCCATGAGTCGTACTTTGGAAATTTATATTCATTAAATAAAAGATAAAAAAAAATAAAGAAAAGTATAATGATTCTAGCCTAGAAACTATGAAAATGGAGATACCACTAACAAAAACAAGGTTTGAGAATGGATGGGGGATGGTTTTAGACATGTTAGATTCCAGCACATCCAAGTATAGCTCTCCCGAGGCTATTTTACAGCACAATATCAGGATGAAACCAAGATACAGGATAGAAATAGACAGGTAATCTATCAAGGTCTTGTATCTACTCCTTGAAGTTCAAAACCCAGAAAGGTAGAAGAGTAGTGTTGCTACCTTCATTTCACTCAAAAGAACTAATGTTCAGAATGAATGTAACTTTACCAAAGCCAAATAGTTTATTAGCAGCAAAGCCAGGAAAATTCTGGTTCACGACTCTAGTCCTTATACTGTAACCAAGTGCTTCCAAGAAGAAAGCAAAGCTCAAGGCTCCTCTTTCTAAAGGCGTCATCAACATAGAGGCAACAGCTGAGGCCGTTAGAATGAATAATTATTTGAGGGCAGGAGAACAAAAGGGAGAAAAGATTCTTGGCGGATACTAGCAATTAATTAAAATGTAGAAGGAACAGAGCCACTGGGACACAAGCACTCATCAAGAGGGCAGGGGCAAAAACAAAATCAAAACCAGAAGTGCAAAGTCAGGTTAGCCAAAAATGGAATAAGTGCTCAGTGATCTTAAATGCCAAACAAAGTTGGAAGAATCAGCATGGAGGATTTGGTATGGAGGTTACACACCTAATGGCTGAAAGTGTTTCAAGAATCTAACTCTTAAAATACTAGGGAAGTAAAAAACATTCCTTCAAAAATGTTTTTGACAGACAATGTCCATTTGGTACAATAAAAAAGCCTCTATTAGTCTTGTGGAATTGTAATTTGATCTTTTAAATCATAGTTCAAATATATGTCAGCATAACCTGATCCATCATTTCACTTTATTTGGAAAGAAAATATTTTCAGACTTTTTATCTTTATATTTGAGAAAATCTGATAAGCATATAGTTTGTTTTTTGTTGTAAGCAGTTTTACTAATTTAAAGCCTCAGTAATGGAAAACAGTGAAAGGTATAAAAAAGGAAGACTACAGATATACCCAAAGCAAAATTACACATAAAGTAATTTACCAAGTTTTGACAATGAATGCCATTAGAAATAATAAGGTCAATGTTCTGATCAGATATGTAACTTCTGTTTTAAGTAGGAGTTAGTATGCAAAGAAAGCAAACTATTTTATCCTTGTCCTAAAATGATGGATATAAAACATTTTTAACTAAAATCAACTTTCAGCAGGAATGAACTGTAGCACCATCTTTGCACAAACCAAGTTTCAGAAAGATCCTAGAGAACTATATCTAACAAAATTTTAAAAAAATTTTATATGACCATCAGTGATTTAAAAACATAGATACACACAAGATAATCAAACAACCTGCTACTGACCTTGTTCAAGTCTGAAGAGGGTCTTTTCCAGCTTTTCCATTTCGTTCAGTAGTAAAATTCGAATCTGTTTACTGTGTCCCATTTTGGCTTCTAGAAGACTTGAAATATTTCAGAAGAATTAAAAGAACTCCAAAGTCGAATGAGTTACCCCTATGAAACAAAAAGGAATTAAGATCAAGGAAATAACCATTACCTGAAACTGTCCAGAGCTGACAGCTGCACTTACATGTTCTAAATATGTTTTAACATTAGCAGAGCAATAACAAAGAATGGATCTTATAAATAAGATATGAGAAGGCGAATTAATAGCTGTTTTCCTCCCTTCGAGCACAATGAGTGAGATCGAAGCAGATATTGTAGCACAGATTCTTGCAATTAAAAAAAAAAAAAAACCTAAAGCATTCTCTAAGAAAAGCAATGTATTTAGGAAAGACTAGCGTTGAGGGGAAAAAATTCCCAGCCCCAAGCCATTTGGCTGTGAAGACTCCAAATGGCACAGCAGCTTACAGGAGATTAGTCTGCTCAAAGATAACAGGTGGGAGATCGCCCCATTCCCAAATTCGGGACGGAGGCCACCAATGGGGAGATGACAGCCGAGGGAAGCAGTTGTTGCCCCTGGAATAGACGCCGCGGACGCAGGATGTACAGAAGGCGCTATAGATAGAAAGAATGCACTTTCCCGAGAGGCCAGCGGCATTCCGAGCACTTACGCCGAGCAAGTTAGGACGTGCGGCTCGGGGACACTGCGGGAGCCGCCGCTCTGGTGCCGGAGGAGGGCACGGGACGTGAGGAATGCGAAAGGGAAAAGGCTCAGCCACAAACACTAGCCGCAGCCCAAAAAGGGCCGGGCGCCGTGAAGGGCAAAGGGAGGGGCGGCGGCGGTGGCGGCGCCCGGGACAGGGCCGCGGACGGGTGTGACAGGCTGGCAGCGCCCCCGCGACTCCGCCTCGCGCAGCTCCGGGACCAGACCCCTCGACCCGCCCCGGCCGTGCGCGCACCCGCCGCCCAGGTGCGAGCCGACTCCTTCCCTCGCCCACTTCCGGGAGCGTCCGGACCCACGCGCCCGGACCGCTAGTCTCGCGAGAGTGTGGGCCCCGCAGTCGTCCGCGACTGGGGGCAGATGTGTTGGGGTTGATGCAGCAGCCAAAGCTGGGTCCCCCTAGCTTTCTTCTCGTCACAAGGTAGTGTGGCGGCCGGGATGCGCCCGTCTTTGAACGGCCCGCGACCTCCTGGTTCACGTTTAAAATCCTGCGGTACCAGGCTGGGTCCTTAGCTGCACAGCAAGACCTTTTTGTGGGTAGAGCTGAATGGTTGGGGGCAAGTGACTTGACGTTCTGTCTCTTTCTTCCGCGATGAGTTTTGTTTAATTTTTGTTTGTAACTTGGCCTAAGCGTCCTGGGCGTTCCGTTTTCCCTTATCTACGGTAACGGGCCTGGCCACAGCCCCTGACATCCTGTCCGCCACGTGTCTACCCTTTCTAGTTCCGGCCCGCGGGGCTCCTCTTCTTGCAGGCAGACGCAGAAGGACTAGGTAGAGTAAGAGTAGCCGCTCCAAAAACAACCATTGATTACGCCTTGTTGTATCTAATGGACGCTGGATTTGTGCGTTTATTCTGACGATTGGCCGCGAGGAGGTCAGAAGTTCCAGGCTCAGAGCAGATGCCTTGAGAGAGGTTATGCCCGAGGGTAAAAGTAAAAGCCATCTTCCAAGGATTTTAACGTACTAGTGTAGGTCCAAAAAGGATAATGAGTTAATAGGAAGGGGCTGGGGTTGTGGTGTAGTGGTTATAACTGCCTCCTGGGGCGACAGTGCCAGTATCCCATATGGACAACGGTGGAGGTCCCCATTGTGCCACTTCCCATCCAGCTCCCTGCTAATGTACTTGGGAGAAGCAACAGAAGATGGCCCAAGAGCTTGGGCCCCTGCCACCCACGTGGGAGACCTATAAGAAGCTCCTGGCTCCTGATTCAATATGGCCCAAACCCAGGGCTGTTGCAGCCATCTGGGGAGTGAACCAGGGGATGGAAGCTCGCTCACCCACTCTCTGACTCTCCCTTTCTTAGTGTAACTCCATTTTTCAAATAAATAAAGATTTTAAAATATATGAAAGGTTAGTTTCAGGAGGCTTATTAGAGGAGACCAGGGATGAGTTTACTTGAGGTGTTTCCAAATAACCTCAAGCAGCACTTTCTCAGAGGCCAGGTACTGCTGCCATGTGGAAACGGTGCTGGCCAAGCTGCTCCTCTAGGAGGAATGCCGGCTGCACAGGCTAGGTGGAGTGTTCTCCTTCATGCTATTTTTTGTTTCCATTAAGGGACTTAGAGAAAGACTACATTTCTTTTGTTTTTCTTTTTTTTTTTTTTTTTACAGGCAGAGTGGACAGTGAGAGAGACAGAGAGAAAGGTCGTCCTTTGCTGTTGGTTCACCCTCCAACGGCCACTGCAGCTGGCGCACCGTGCTGATCCGAAGGCAGGAGCCAGGTGCCTATCCTGGTCTCCCATGGGGTGCAGGGCCCAAGCACTTGGGCCATCCTCCACTGCACTCCCAGGCCACAGCAGAGAGCTGGCCTGGAAGAGGGGCAACCAGGACAGAATCCAGTGCCCTGACCAGGACTAGAACCCGGTGTGCCGGCGCCGCAAGGCGGAGGATTAGCCTATTGAGCCGCGGCGCCGGCCGAGAAAGACTACATTTCCATTTATTTATTTTTATTTTTCTCTTCATCCTGGGCCATACGAAAAACCAGATGATGAGGGCACAGAAAACCACATGTCCCATGGATATGAGGACAGTACTTCCCACTTCCTGCCCCCAGAAAGTTCATCAAAACCCAGCAATGGTGCCTTAGTTTACATCATGGAAAAAAAGTTTTATCCCAACTGGCCAGGCATAGAAAATGGGCAAAGCTAGCAAACCATTAGAGATTCCATGAACAAGGGAAAATAAGATTCTAGACAATATACCTGAAAGTAGTAGAAAGAAAAGCCAAAGAAATCACAATTTTTATCAGTTATGAAACATGGAATTCATTATTGTTCTCTACCTGTTCCCGATAGAGGGTTCTATACCTGAATAAAATATTACAACATTTGTGGAACAGGGAAGGACAACCTCAAGGAACCCAGAAACCCAGCCTGGGGTTTCTTGGGCTGCTCCTTTTGTGATCCCCAGTCTCCCAGAACAAAAAAGGCTACCCCTTCCAAGTCACTAATTCTGTCCTGAGAACATACTTCCTGTGCTGGCTCTCACTTTTAGCGACTCTTAGACCCTTGCCAGAATGGCAATCCCAAATCGCTCTCTCCTTGATTCCATGGGGTGCTAGACAGAAAGGGGTCCAGGTGGCCATCTCACCTCTTGGCACTCTGAGTCAGCAACTCAGGATTGCTAGGCACCAAGTGAAATCGGCCATGATTACTGACAGAGCTACCACTCCCCAAGAACAACCAAGCCCTGAATGAGCTGCCCCTGACAACTGCTTTGCTCCCACTTCCTGGTCATCCTGAGCTCAGGCTAGGAACAGTTCCATCTGAGTTAGCTAACTTTGTTAGCTAATTCAAGGGTTTCATTCACTTGGGGTGTCACCATATAATCAGTTTCTTTTCTTTTTCTTTCTTTCTTTTTTTTTTTTTTTTCTGACAGAGTGGACAGTGAGAGAGAGAGACAGAGAGAAAGGTCTTCCTTTTGCCGTTGGTTCACCCTCCAATGGCCGCCGCAGCCGGCACGCTGCGGCCGGCGCACCGCGCTGATCTGATGGCAGGAGTCAGGTGCTTTTCCTGGTCTCCCATGGGGTGCAGGGCCCAAGCACTTGGGCCATCCTCCAGTGCACTCCCAGGCCACAGCAGAGAGCTGGCCTGGAAGAGGGGCAACCGGGACAGAATCTGGTGCCCCGACCGGGACTAGAACCCCGTGTGCTGGCGCCGCAAGGCGGAGGATTAGCCTACTGAGCAGCGGCGCCGGCTATAATCAGTTTCAATTGGGAGTGGCTCAGATGAAAGCTCTGTTTGTGGCCAAGTAAAGAAGACAGTGGGAAAGTATAGTTCCCTAAAGAAACTGCCTCCCTGAAGAGGAATTTGCCAGGACATTCACATTTTACACCAAAAGGCATGTCCAGGATGTAGAAAAGAGGGAGTGGAGGACCCTTTCTGTGTGTAATATACATTGGTCTATTCAAAGACCTGACTTAAGCTAGTTATTTTTTAAAAATATTTTAAAAATTTATTTATTTACTTGAAAGGCAGGGGCAGACTGAGAAGGAGAGAGTTCCCATTGCATATTCATTTCCCAAATGCCCACAATAGCTGGGACTGGGCTAGGCTGGAGCCAGGAGCTAGGAACTCAATCCAGGTAATACCTGGATTAAGTACTTCAATGTAGGCAGTAGGTGACTAGTAGGCATCTTAACCACTAGGCCACATGCCCATCCCCAGAGACTGTTTGTTTTGTTTTCCTTATTTGTGGTAGTCTAGCTTCCTGTGAGTGCAACATTGCAAGAGAAGCTTTCCTTGCAACATCCTTTGAAAAACTAGCAACAGAAAGTAACTGTTTCAGATTCTCTGCCCATGTTCCAGTGCTTCATTTTGTCCTAAATTCTATTCTGCAGTTACAGACTGAGAATGGATAGTTGCAAAGGGCCACAAACCAAATTTGGGAATCTATAGCTTATTTACCAGTACCTACTATTTGCTAGACACATTGGAATGCACAATAAAAACAGTTATTGCCCTCATGGAACTCCTACATCTTAATGGTAAGAAACAGATCAACAAATAAGTAAACTATATAGGATAATAAAAGGTGTCAAGACATAAAGCAGAGAAGGGAAAAGTGTGGAACAGTGGAGGAGGTCTGCAGTTCTAAATACAGCGACAAGACAAATGATGCCAAACCGAAAGAAAGAAGGAAGAGGACATCCGAGGTGGAGGATTACACACAGAGGGACAGAAAGTACAAAGGCCATGCGGTTGGAGCACACTTAGTGAATTGAAAAAGGTCTCTGTAGCTGAGTGAAGAGTGATAAGAGACTGGGACAGATAGATGGGGGGGGGGGGGAGGGAGCGGTGACCAGATCTTGTAAGGATATATAGGACCTGTGTTTTTATTCTAGGAAAAAGAGCTGTTGGAGAAATTTTGAACAGTATTATAATCTAATCAGCTTTTTTTTTTTTTTAAAGGTCATGCTGCAAACTGTAGGTGTAGCATGGAAAGAAGCAAAAAGACCAGTTAGGAAGCAGTTATCCAAGCAAGAGAAAGTGATGTGCGTGTGCATGTGTGTTTGTGTATGTGTGTATGCTTATTACATGGATTGAGGAAAAGTTACAGCTGTGAACATGTTGAGAAGTTGTTGAATTCTGGACATATTCTTTAATTAAAAAAATTTTTTTTAATTTACTTGAAAGGCAGAGCAGCAAGTAGAGAGAGACATATCCCTCATGTGCTGGTTCTCTCAGTTCCCACAACAGCTGGGGCTAGGCATGCTGAAGCCAGGAGCCAGGAATTCCATCTGG